CAACACTTATTTATTTACTTATTTCTTGAGCATGCACCTTCTTTCCTAGTTGCTCAACCTCATGCTGCTGCTGCTCTTTAGTGGTAATGACAATGGCTGAACCAAGAGTTGAACCCAAAGTGAATAAGATCAAAATTGCGCAAGAAGTGAAAACTCCATTCTTGACCAAATAGCATTCTCCATCTAACCACCCTTCACCTAATTGTTGACTCCTACTCATGCTTGTGGATGTGCATAGGAAGACTAATCCAACTCCATAGCTGATCCTATAATACATATTGGACAACATATTTGAACAGATAATTAATTTCAAAAGAATAAAAGTTATAGTGTTTAGTGTAAAATTGTGATATACTACGTATGATATATCTAGTCTATTTTAAACATTATAATAAGTAGTCATGATTTTATCCATAAACAATATTTTGGTTTCTTTTTTGTAAGAAAATCCTCTTCTAGTTTTTATCATGCAACTCCCCATCTTCTTAAATTGGTGAAAGTTCTCAACTTTACCATGTTAGTGTTTGGCAAAACAATGCCATTATGTCAATAAGAAGAAACTATAATGAAATACACAATATCGAAAATAAAACATTTCTAGGCGTTCATTTATACAACCTTCCAACAAAATAGAGAATAAAATCATACTCTGTGGCTTGATTGAAGAAGTCGAAAATTAAATTGAAGAAAAACCAGTAATTGTGTTAACATTTCTTGAACTCTAATCTCAATGATGTCCTAATCACGTGCTAAGTTACCCACACCAAAGCCATTTAATTCCGATAATCTTATAAATGATTGGCTCTTCATGCTAGTTTTTTTGGTAATAAGTTTTATTTCATTAATATTTTTGAAAAAAAAAACTTATTTTTAATGACCAAGTAAAATTACGAGAAAATTAAATTTAAAATTTATATATTTATATATCGGAATATTTGACTTTTTAAATCACCAAGTAAAAAAGCTTATCAGAAAAATGAACAAGTGAGCGTTTATTTATTAAAAAACTGTGATCATAAACAAATTGAGAGCCTGTTTGGTAGCACGAAAATCGGCTGATTTGGCTGATTCTGCTGAAATTTATGAAGTTCTGACTGAAGTGGCTGCATTGGCTGATTCTGCTGATTTAAGAAAAAAAATACTTTTAAAAAATATTTTATTAATAAAATAAAGAAAAAATTATATGTAAAAATAGCTAAAATGGTCATCTACAGTAACTTCAGCCAATACAGCCAGAAAAGTAACTCCAACCTTACTTTTTCTGCTTATTACACAATTTAGCGCGCGAAAACAAAAGTTACTTGTTTGGTGAAAAAGTTGGCTGATAAGCCTGATAAGCCGATTAACAGTGTTACAAAATAGCCTCTGAATGTGAATGATTGCGGTGGACCAGTAAAAATACACAATTTTTGTATAAAATGATTGGGAATTTACTTTATTCATTTACAGTATTGTAAAGCTTTTTACCAAAATCAGAAAACAGATACGCTAGCGGCTAGTTCAATTATTGACCATTTTCACCTTTTAACGGTAAAATAAATTGACTTTTCCAAAATTGTTCAGCAAAAAAAGTCACCTACCATGATAACACCAGTGAGAAGATTACAACCATCGGCTTATGCCGCTCGCCGGACATGAATCTCCGGCCAACAACTAACAAGCTTCCGATGACCTGAGCGCCGGTGAAGCAGGCCAAAGCCGCAATTGCTAGACCGCAAGCCAAGCTTCTGGGCAAGTAACAAAGCTCCCCCGCCAGCCGAAGATCCTCTTTCTGCAAAAAAAATCATCACCGGGAAAACAAGAACCCGATCGTTAACCCGAATTCCGGTATCAAAGATCGACGGAAGAAGACAGATATACGAATTGAACCCAACACAGATTCAAAACTACCTTCGATTTCTTGAATTCAGCGGCGATGCAGAGCGTGAAGGAGACGAGGCCAAGGGTGACCACAATTGAGACAATTACAGGGGAGATGAACCGGTGATGTTTTTCCCCCATAAGATTATATATTTCTTTATGGTAATTTCCCAAAAACTAAAAAACAATACTTTTTGAATTATTATAGGTTGGAAGTTTCAAAGAAAAAACATGGGTTAGCGGTGGATCTGGATTTGGGTCAAGTTGTGTGTTCTGTATTGGCATAATTGTGGGGGGAGGTATTAGTTGGAAGCATTTCCTCCAAAGCAACATCTCAATGCTGCTTGTTGGATTGGGAGAAGTATAAATTATTAATTCTTTAGAAAGCCAAGGGGTTAGAAGTTTCTTCTTCATTTGGGATCAACTTGTGAGGTCAAACTGGAACAGCTTGATGTGATTTTAATTTGGGGATGCAAAAAAAAAAATTGGGGATGGAGTTTTTAGATTTGAGAATGAGATGTTCCATGAGATTGAGAACTGATGAGATACTGAGATTAGGATTGATGAATTTCATACTGTATCTTTCATTTACTGATTTGGGTACAAATATTTTTGAACTTGGTCAATACCTACATTTTTGTGCTCTTTCCTTCATAAAATTAAAGCTTCAATTCGAGTTTTGTCAAATACTGAGTAGGTCAAATTGAGAATTGGTATATCCGAAGAAATATAACTATTATTTCCACTATTCTTTAAAAGTTCCAACATTGACTCTTACACTACTCACACATCTTATTTTAACTATAATTTTCTAATAATATATTATCTCCGTCATGAAAAGGTTTGACATATTGACTTTTCTAATCATATATTACCATGATTTTTACGACAATTATTATATACTTATACTCGGTATAATTTATTATAAATTTTATACTTTTATGAAAGTATTTTAAATAAGGAACATTTTGATATAATTATCATATTCTAAATAGTTTCATACTAAAAAATATAATTGATTTTCATTAATAAAAAAAGTCTATTTTGCAAAACTTTTCGGGAGTATATAATCAAACCGTTATGTAATATTATTAAATTTCAATTAATGTAAATTTCTAAAATATTAAATTTTATTTAATGTTTACTGATACAAAATTAAATATAATTACAGTCAAAGTTGTGTGTTGGTAAACGTGAAAGTCAAACTGTTGTAACTTTTAAAAAACGAATAGTAGTACTTCATATGTTCCTACAAGATTAATTATTCTCCTTTGAAATACGGAGTAATAGATTTGTGATTTGTACTACTTCTCTTTTCTTTATGTAAGCTTCAATCACCTTATTTTGACTTTATTATATAAAATTATAATGGATCAATTCGTATATCGTGAGAGCAGTTCACAGTGAGCATGGAGCGCATGTTGCTCCCACAACCAAACACGTGTTACTGTTCACGCGGATGAACATTAACTTTTTTTTTGTTTTTTCATTGTTCATTACCAGTGTGATGTAACTCGCGTGTAAAAAAATGTAACTCACACCGAAAAAGAAATGTAATTTGTCTAATACGGATTATAAGAATTAAAACATTGATTTCAATGAAATCAAGGAGGCAAATCACTCAATTACTTTACGTAAATAGTGAATATGTTTGGTTTTTAATATTAAGCTCATAAATAATGTTTTTTCTTCAAATCGTTTTTTTTTTTGCCCAAAAAATAATTTTCCCCCCAAAAAATCATTTTTTTTTTGCAAAAAAAAAGTGATTTATTTGTTTCAATAGTAGGAGTTTATTAAGCAGTGAACATGTTATGTTTTTTATATTGAGGCTATAAAAATGTTTTTTTTAAAAAATCACTTCATCGCCAAATAAATCATTGTTTTGCCAAAAAAAAATTGATTCTTTGGTTTCCATAGCAGGGCCTTTATGATGTGATGTAACTCGTGTTATAGAAAATATAAATTTCGTTAACGGAAAATATAACTTAAGTGTATGCAAAATGTAACTTGTTAAGGCAAGTCGAAATTTAACTCGCGTATAGGAAGATGTAACTCACACATAATTGGCATAAACAAGATGTAACTCGCGCATAAAAAGATGTATGTAACTCCATATACTATCAAATGTAAGCAATGAAAACGAGGAGTCTAATTGCTCAAATTAATTTATGTAAGTATTAATATGTTTTTTTAGTATTAAGGCCATAAAACGTTTCAAAGAAGGAAAACATTGCCAAAAATCATTTTTTTGCCAAAAAAATGATTTTTCATGTTTCAATAGCCGGAGTTTATTTTGTGATGTAACTCGTGTTATGGAAAAATGTACCCCGCGTTGATAGAAAGTCTAACTTAACTGTATGCAAAATGTAACTTGTTAAAGCCAGTTCAAATGTAACTCGCGTATTGAAAGATGTAATTCATACACAAGATTACAAGAAGATGTAACTTACTCATAAAAAGATGTAACTACATATACTATCAAATATAACTCCAGAAATTGTTTATAAACATAACTCACACATATGAAAATATAACCTCATGTTTTATCAAATTTAAATCGAAATAAACAAATTTAATGTCTTTTTTTTATGATAACAAACTTAATGTCTTAAAACACTAATAAAAACATATAAAAGAGATCAGAAATATGTTACAGAGTATAAAAAAGTGTATTAATATGAAAAGCATATTATAAAAAGTGTATAGATATAAGAAATATTTTGAAGAAAAAATAATTAATTTTTTGTTGTAATTTTAGTTGAATAATAAAAAAGAAAAAGTGTATCAATAAGGACTTAGAGAGAAAGAAAAAATAATTATTTTATTTTCAAAGGATGAAAACTTGATCACAAAATTTTAATCATACATCTGAGTTTTCTTAAACCAAAAAAACATTTGGAAACATTAAAAGTAAAAAACGAAAAAGAGAAAAGAGACAGAGGTGGGGGAGTAGGTGCAACTGGGCACCTGGAGAGAGCACGTGACCATTGAGAGTAGCATATGTTTTGTTTTCAAGAAAAAACGGTACCGTATTAGGGATCGGTATACCATGCACATGATATACCGATCCCACGGTATAAATGCCCTCCTATCCTTCGATGGCCGGTTAAGTAACTTTTAACTTATGTTTTTCTTTTTCGATAATAACTTTTAACTTATGTTTAGAAAAATTGTAGATATATTTTTGTAACTTTTGATTTGTCCGCTTTTGATATTGTAATCTTTTCAATTCTAAATCTGAACGGGTAATTAGAAAATTTGTTTATTGAAGGATCCTTCCATCAGAACTTGAACCTAATAAAACAAAAATGATTAAAAATGATCTCACTCTAGGTATTTTGGTTTATGTCTTTGGAACTAAAAAATGACCGAGTTGAAAAGGCCGATCAAAACAAGTTAAAATGTACCAAAGTTGAAGCAAATCTTTCGAAATTAACCGAAACTAACTCTAAATACATTTTGGTTCTCAATTATACCATTCTCAATTATACCAATTTTCATTTTAGATGCGAATGTAGACAAAGTAATATTTTAGTTTTAGACTGATTCCAGATCAAATGGGTTGGTGCTATAAAAAAATTAGGGAGGCCCGAGACATATATTTTTGATTTCAATCTCCCAGCCGGTCCAAGTCCGATCTCGGTTAATGAAACTAGAGTCTCCCTAATTTTTAGTATCAACCGGTCGATCTGGGTCTGGAATCGGCTCGAAACTGGAATATTATTTTGTCTAGGTCCGTCTTTATCACTAATTCACATGCAAGCATGATTATATTTTTCAAATTCTTCATAACTATTTAATCTCAAATTTTAGTATGTCATAACAAATTTTATGACAAATTCGTATTATCTTAGATTAAATATTTAATATTTTATCTCAAATTTGTACTATCTTATACTACGTCATGTTAACTATTTAGATTTACAAAAAATCTATCAAATAAAAATAAATTTAATAATGAAAACGTTATGCCAGATAAACCCCGTGTATTCAGTATTTTGTACTGTATGTACAACTTTAACTTTATTTCAAAATTATATTTTACTCTTACTTTCAATAATAATTTCTTTATATAAAAACAAATGAATGAAAAACACGAAGCTTGGATTTAACCAGAACTTCCAGCCTAGCTGGTTGTGAGGTTACCCCTGCATAGGAGAGGTCTCGTGTTCGAATCCTACTAGCATCAGTGGTACTATGTTCCCTCAAAAAACCCTTCAAGTGGGAAGGCCAAACGGTTAATACTAATCCGTAGGGCCTGTACTGACGAGAGTGAGTGTGACTGTGATCAGGATAATGAGAACGTAAATCCCGACACCTGGATTATAAAAAAACAACAATTGGATACTTGGATTTGGTCCAACCGTCCAAGCAATTCGCTTGGCTAATCAGATATCCTCAGGCCATCTCCAACAAGCACCAAACTTGACACCAAAATGGTGTATTTGGCAAAAAAATGCTCCAACAATAGCACCAAACTTGACACCATTACACCAAAATAGGGGAGGGGGAATGGTTTCCGCCATATATGGCGTGCGCCATATGTGGAGCAGAAGTGCTTAATTTGATGTTTGTTCCAATCAACTAGACTGTTAGTCATTACGTTTTCTTTAATTTAGCCAATTAAGTTTTTGTGCTCGAAAATTTGACAGCTTAGCTAGCTAGAAACGAAGAACCATAATTAAGGAGTGTATATGGCTGTAATTAATTTGTAAGCACTCAAATAGTCTATAGACAAAATGAGTTTACTTGCAATCATTACAACACCATTCCATACCAATTCCACTAAATATTTGGTGAACTTCCAACTTCAATGTGTCGCAATGTCATTCACGCTACGCGCAAATGCGCAATATATGAATATATGATGCCTTTTTCATGTATCTTGTGGTTTGTGTGCCGCTAATGCATTACTCTGAAATTTTTGATAAAATTGGACAATGAATTGTTTTAAAGGTTTAAGTTTGCGGTCATAGTACATTTTGTTTTACGTGTCCTTATTTTTTTTGTTTTTCATGTATAAAATTTATGTTGATTTTTCTTTTAGTTCATTACTGATGATAACAACTGCTGTTTGACAATAAAACAACCTCGATTAGAAGGTTTCTTCTAATTCTTTATCGATCATGTTATTAAAAAGTATTTAATTTTACTTCTTACAATGTTCTAAAATACTTAGAGGTTCTTAAGTATTGTAAAAAATGCGAATAAGTAGGTTTGCATCGTTTTAACTTACAAACCATCACTACACATAGCTAGGAATCCAAAAACTCCATATTTAACCTTTTTGACATCTAATACCTCACCACTCCAAATAGGCTTATAGTCTGTCGGCCACCTATTGAGCCCATTAAATTACTTGAAGATCTATACACAGATATTAGAATTCTCATTTTGTACTCATATACTCATATGTAAGTGTCTTTCACGGTTTCACGTCATCCACTTGTTTTCTCATGTGGTCGAATTTCATTCAAATCAACTATTGCGGGCTTGCGGCTCCGGATTAGAGAATAGTGTTCTTAAATAAGTGCATGTAACAATCATTTTTTCACATTTGGCGATGCACCATTTTGATACTTAAATATATTATTCTCTATTAGTAAAAAATTAAGAAAATAGGATTATGAAAATTTAAGC